ATCACTGAACCTTTAAATTTAAATATCAAATTTCTTATTAAATCAATTTGCACATCTATAATTAACTCAGGATTTTGTTTGAGGACCCTTACACATAAAACCATAGCAGATTCATTATCTGTTTTAAGACTCTTTTTTGATAAACTAAAGGACCATACGTCTGTTGTAATTGATACCCTCCTGAAACTTCTTCAATGTACAGTGTGGGACAAAAAATTTTGCCTTCGGTAATATTACAATAACTTTACAACCAACAAAGCAAATCACTTATAAAATAGCTCATTTAAAACTATGAAATGAATCGATTTTATTATAAAAATTAAAAAGGAATTCGTTCGCCATTTCTTTCAATAATCGCTTCGCAACGTCTCTTCATTGAGCCTATCAAATTTTTTATAACAGAATCCGGAATACTCTCCCACTCCTCAATCATAAAACACTTTAATTTGGTGAGATTTTTTGGTCGTCGCCTTTCTACATTGGTCTTAACTATGCTCCAAAGATTTTCTATGGGATTGATGTCAGGGCTGTTAGATGGCCAGTCAATAACTTCAGGCATATTTGCCTGAAGGAACTCCCGAGCTACAGCACTTGTATGCTTGGGATCATTGTCTTGCTGAAAGCGCCAGACATGTCCTAGCATTTGTTTAATCTCAGGCAAGTGCTTCTGAAGAATTTTGACGTAAAAGGCCCCGTCATTATTTCTTGAAAGCAGAAAAGGCTAGTTTTTCCTGTTGCACAAAATCCGCCCCAGGCAAAAATTTTTGTACGATTTTTTGGAATAGGGCGGATTGGCCGTGCACCCTTATACCACTGTTTTATGGTATTTCGGAATAACTGAAAAGCAGTTTCATCCGAAAAAAGGGGTTTTTTCCAGTTATCATTAAGGTGAGCGCGAGCCCATTCTACACGTTTTCTTTTATGGACACTGGTAAGCATTGGAGTGACTGCGGGTAAATTATTTTTATAACCCAGACTGTGTAGATGTCTCAAAACAGTTCTATAAGATACTTCAAGATCATTTTCAGATAACTTAATTGCTATCTTTCGGGAAGAGAGAGATGGATCACGTCTCAAGTCCTGTTGCACAAAATCCGCCCCAGGCAAAAATTTTTGTACGATTTTTTGGAATAGGGCGGATTGGCCGTGCACCCTTATACCACTGTTTTATGGTATTTCGGAATAACTGAAAAGCAGTTTCATCCGAAAAAAGGGGGTTTTTTCAGTTATCATTAAGGTGAGCGCGAGCCCATTCTACACGTTTTCTTTTATGGACACTGGTAAGCATTGGAGTGACTGCGGGTAAATTATTTTTATAACCCAGACTGTGTAGATGTCTCGAAACAGTTCTATAAGATACTTCAAGATCATTTTCAGATAACTTAATTGCTATCTTTCGGGAAGAGAGAGATGGATCACGTCTCAAGTAATTTAACCGTAAGTTGCACGAACGACTGTAATATTAGTACACAATGTATGTATTATATACTATAATGCTATACTGTGAATAATAATAATTATTATAGCAATTTCTATTAATATTAAAGATGATGCAAAAAAGAATGTCCCTCTTGTAACAAACAACAAAAAAATTTCGTGTTCTCAAGCATGTGATCCATAATCATTAACTCGAGGATGGACCCGTGATAATGAATCAATCAATAGATAAAAGTGGGATAAGATTAAAGAAATTAATTTCAAAAAGAATTTAAAAATGAAATTATATTAACGGATAACTTGATTGATGTGGGAAGTAAATAAATAATAAATCTTGCAATACTTGTCATTATAATTGTAATTTATAGCTTGATAAATGGGCATTTGGGTGAATTATAGTAATTGGGATTAACATCATCAATTTTCCATTTCATTGAAAACCTTTCTAATTGATCAAGTTGCTCTTCAGAATAATAGCGTTATTTATTTCAGATATCAAATATTCATTTAGCGGTGGACGTTTATTTGGATTAGCATCCATACACCCATATTAATATGCCAATTCAAATATAAAAACTCGGTGCATTCTTGGAAAGTCCTGGTCTTACTCTCCTATAAATAGCTCATTGTATGAGTTCTAATCCTGGTGCAGTACAGGCATCTTTCGTAATCCATTCCACTATTAAGAGATCCTGATGATTGATTTTTGCTTATATATTTTTTTTAAATCATCAACATTGTAAATAAGTTCTATTTATTTTTTTACTCGGATCATTAATATTTCTCTATTTTTTCTTTACCAAAGGCCCAAAATGGTACATTCATAAGGTAATCATCATAACCGTTATTGGTCTCAGTAGATGGAATTATCTTCCAATCCAATCATGTAGTACTGACTACTGCATCTTTTACACGTGGAGTAAATAAGGCATAAACTCTAGGATTGTGACAATCAGTGTGTTCTAACGTTCCATTCTTTTTAATTGATTTAGCAGAAGTAAAAGGAGTCTATAGAGGTTCCGTATTCCGTACATCTGCGCCTCTGTAGTAAAAAATGCTCTGTATGAAACAAAAGTATGGAATCGAAGATCGTACAGACTGGCCCCACCAATCAACTTTTCTATTTTAATTTCGGAATTCACAAATTCGGTCTAAAGACCTCGCAAATTTTAAAAGTATAGAAGTCATTTTCTGTCCTACATTTTAAAAAATAGCCTTATTAATTGGTAAAATAGGTTTCTACTTTTAATGTAATGAAAAGATTTTCTCCAAAAAATTATTTATTATAGAGTTCTATTCTTTTTTAAAACATGTACTTTACTATGCTCATGAGAAATTTGAACTCTAGGATCATTGCTAAATTTAGACTAGCTTTTGATTATCATTCCTAAATTTAGCCTAATACTCGACCATCATATCTAAATTTGGCAGTAAGGAAAATAGTTTTTTAACCAAAATCATGTGTAACCCTTTTTTTAAAAAAATTTATTGCAATTTTTGAAATTTGAGCGCGTGGCGCAGCAATAGGAGGTCTTTAGACCGAGCCAACCATAGTAAAAATGACAAACTTTAAATCATCATAGCTCTCTTCATTTTAATAAAATTTAAACAAACTCTCTATTGCATCTTTCCTTATGTCTTATAGAATAAAACTATAGAGAGTTTTTTTTTTTATCTTGCATGGTCATTGAGCTTATACATTTTAAAGTTTAGCCAAAATTTTTGATGTCTTTAGATTATCGGCACCTACTCAATTTTTCATTAGCGTAATTATTTTTTAAGATCAACAGCAGTTTGATCTATTTCATTGAATATCAACTATCAGATTTTGGCTCTTATTTCAACGAGTGCCCCGTTGATGGTTGGTCTTATTTAGGCTTTATTGATTACGTGTCTAAAAATTGCTTATCATTTACTTCTTGTGCTTATAGGATTGTAGGGCTTCAAGTACAAGAAACACATAGACGAGATTGAACGAAAATACGACACCTCAACAAGGCATCTTTACTAAAGAATTCATTCAAGGTTAGGAATGACTTTGCATAAGAGTATAAAAGGTTGACAATACAACTTGGCTTTGAGCTAAGTCAATACTAGACAGGGTGCTCTGTGCGCCACCCTGGGTCACCTTGACATGTTGCCATTTGTTGTGCTCTATCAAATAAAGTATTGATACTAGACAAGGTGTTCTGCGCGCCACCATAGGTTTCCTCGTCCACTATCAATTGTTAAGATATAATTTTTTTATTTAATTTTATCTTTATCTTTACTATTACTCAGAGCTTGATAAAAAAATGGATAAAGAATCGTTGACTAATATTAATTAATACATTGACAAAAATGAAATAATTGAAGATGTGAGTTCACATAAAACTTTTGATTCTTCTCCTATACTGCTCACACTTATTGGTTTACACAGTACAAGCATCAAACAACATTAAATAATGATGTGAGAAAACCAGGGTTGGTCCATTGCCATTAATTAAACATCAAATATAGTTTAAAATATTACACTAATGGACCCAATAGACCCAATGGACTACACATTTTCCAACCCTGGTAGCAATCCATATGCTATTAAAAACCAATATTGTCTCAATCAATCTCATCAACTTTATCCAATGCATCATACCATTCTTCGTTGGATTTGGAATATAATTGAAAAAAAGTTCAATAGCTGACAAATGAGTTGGAATATTTAACAGCTTGTAGGTATTATACCTTTTGTTGTTATTACAAGAATAATAATCGGAAGAAACTAAATTAATTTTTTTTTAATACACTTTAAAAGACAAGATTTACCAATTAAAAGGTCGGAAAAATACACTGAAGTCAAGTACCGTTTCAATTTCCAGGATCCCATCATTAAACCAATATTTTGCGGTGATAAATTTATAAGTCACTTAATAAAGGTCTAAGTGATACCTCAACCAATCATACTTCCATATTAAATGGTGAAATGAAACCAATCGGATGTACACCATTACAAAAGAAAAAATATTTCATTAAACGAGGGAAAAGTTCTATAAACAAAATGATAAAAGAAAAGGGCTATCCAAATATAGCAACTATTGTTTAAATGTGGGTACATGTTTCTGTTGATATTGTCTACTGTTGATTTTTTTATAATTTTGACAAAATTATTCAATAATTTAGGTGAAAATGTAGCTGCTTCTTTTTCTCCATCTAGAATATATTTTATTGCAGCTCTTAATTTTTTTTACCTACAGTATTTTTGATTTGTTGTAAGACATTATCACAATACTCTAATTCTTTTTCTACAAGTAAAATCGATCTCTTTAAACCTTCAGCCCATTCTTGTTCATTACATATTTATAAAGTTTTACACAATTTTCAACTTGATCAGTGGTGGTGGGAAATTTGTTATGTAAATTTTCATTACTAAAATTAAGCACTTTTTTACTAGTATCTGGGTGATGATTCAATGGTTACATTGATGCTAATTTCTCCATATTTGCCATTAATACATCTACTATTAATTGAGTACTTGTTCTTCCTATACTGCTTTTAGTAAGTGTGGCAGAACTCATGTCAAGTTTATATTACCAATAAAGATCATTAGGCGGTGTTTTTGGCAAGTCAACAATCCTTTTATCTGTCCAATACAACTCTGCACAAAGATCTAGCACTCTCTGCTCTAACATAGCATGTATTTCATTTCTAACTTGAGGTTTTCTAAAAGGATGTGCAAAGTCTTTGAATTATGTTTAATGCTGTCAATGGTTTCAGCAACATAAGATTCTGCTGTAATTTGTCTAATATCAACATCAATAAGTTTTTTAATGAAGCATATATACAAAGCAAAAAAAAATATTTAGATTTATATATGTGTATATATATATCATGTAACGAACCTGTCAATTATACTGCACTTTAAATTGATAACAAGCCTCTTCTAATTCTGATTGGACTGCTGAAACAATTGAAAACAATGATTTTGCCATATTTTCCTCCAACACTTCCATAAGTTTCCTACATAAAGTTCCAGTACCAATTTGGATACCTCATTGACTATACACATGATTATTCCTAACAAATTGGTCCTCATGTTGCATCAAAGCTGATGTAATATTTTTTTTCTAAGGGTTTTGCAAACAACACCAATATAACCTAGATGTAATGGATAATCGGTGTTTCTTAATATACTTGCACCAATTTCTGGTTCAACTAAATCCATTTTTGTTATAACACCAATAGTATGCAAACTAAAGAGTCTACTTTGTGACTAGCTTTTAAAGCTTCTGAATTTGCCAAATATATATCAGCAGAACATACTGCTAATATAATATTTAGCTCTCTGATATATTGCTCACATAATTCAACAATTTTTTCTTTTAAAGTTTCAGGTTGGTTTTTATTTGTGACTTGAATGTAACCAGGAAAATCTATTAAAGTCAAGTCAGGAACATTGGGTGAATAGATATGAAGTTCAATTGGTTTGTTGGAAACACATTCAGACTCTGGTGCTGCCAAATTAAGATCATGTAATGTTTGTTGTATATGTAAAAAATCATGTATTTTTCCTAATCCAAGTTGAGAAAATTCACCATATTCTTCTTTATATGTATTGATGTTAGCTCAATTGGTCTCCGAGTAACCATATTTGATCTTCTGAAAAATCAGTTAAACAATCAAAAAATTAGAAATTAAAATGCATATTCTTAATATTATATTAAAATTTAATATTAAAATCAAAGAAAGGAAAACCTTACTTTGGCAAAAATTTATGACCAACAATTGCTTCTAATACAGAACTTTTGCCAGAGCTTTGACTACTGATTACTACAATACTTGGTAATTTTAATGCCTCTTTATGATCAATGCTCATTAAAATATTACAAACTTCTATCAATTTTTTTTTAAGCACCATGAATTCATTATCTTGTGCTGGAATACCACGTTTATTTTTATGTGCTCCAGAATCTTCACCATCATTCTCATCATTATCTTTTTCTCCAGTCATAAATAATGAAGCCGCAGTTGCAGCAGCAGCAGCAGCTGATGATGATGATGGACCACTATTACCACTATTACCACCACTAGATGATTCTGAATCACCTTCATCCTCCTTTTTGATAAACTTTGGTCTATCTGAATCAGCCTTAAATGAATTTGACGATGATTTTGATTGAGTTGGATTTTTAGAAAACATATTTTTTACAAAACCAGGTATTTCTATTCCAACATTCATATTTGTTAATCCACCAATTGATCCTATTGCAGATTTTACACCATTAATTAGAGATCCAAGCATTTCAGAACTTTTATTTGCCATATCTACAATAGATTATATATATATAGATATATATAAATGTTTACATACATGCAAATACTTTTCATTTTGTTCATAGAATATATTTTACTTACCATTAAATTTATAATTTGCATGTCAAACCACCAACCCCTAATGTAAAGCCAGCTGCAGGTATTTGCATTGCATGAAATACAGATCATGGAACCGAAAATGACCTTATTTGTAGATCTGTTCTAGCTAATGCAAATTTTTTATGATTAACTTGAATTAGTCTGTAATTGTGGCTACCAGAAAACATTAATCCAGAAGTATTCTTTATGAAACTTGTGGTAAGTAAAGTAGATGCACTTGCTCATAATCAGACAGTCCATGATTTGAAAAAGAATTATCAAATTTAAATCAAATCATAAATCATGTGCAACAAAACCCAAATGTAGTAGATTCAGAATCAATTCAATTTACATATAAAACTAGAAGACTATTTTTAATAAATTGGGTAATTTTAGCTCTTTAACTCTTTCATTTTTAAGATAATGTATATTATTATATAATGTTTTTCATTACCTGTAAATTCAATAACGGTGATATTAAAATTCTTATCAAATCTTAAGTACTAAAGTATCAAAAATTTCATTCAAAAAATGTTTTCGCAATGGTTTCAGATTTTAATCACATCTTTATTATTAATCAATCACCAACTTTTATTAAAAAATTTATTTATTTTTTATTCATGTAAATTAGAAATTTAAAACTTTGCAAGTTAAGTTAGTTTACCTTTTCACAAGGTTGGTATTTTTCTCTGTTTCTTCTACCGAATAAGAGCTATATCGAAAAACATCTAATTGTGATTTGATAATTGGAAACTGAATAAGTTTTTGATGGCATTGTTGTTTATTTTTAAATATTTGAAATTATAAGATTTGATTTTTTTATAAAAGAAAAAATTTGTATATAAAATTAATGGAGAAGTGTTAGTTTTATACATAAAAAATAATATTAATTGTACCAAAAAAATATAAAGATTGAATGATGAATTTGAGAACAACGAGATGACAAATTTAAGAATATGCAATTATTCATTTCCATCAGCAAAAATCTTTTTTTTAAGAATTCTTTGCTCAACTGGGATGGAAACTTTTGAAACCTTCACCTATAGATTGTAGTTTTAAATGCTTTCTTTATTTTTTAAAAATAAAAATATCAAGAGAATTCATCAATGATTTTAAATGCTTTTTTTATTTTAAATAAAAAAAAAACAAAAATATCAAGAGAATTTATAATTTGATGTTATATTTATGTTCCATTGCTGAATGTATATCAATCATATCTGTTGATTGACTTGGATCTGAAAAAATGTGAACAAACAATTGATTGATTAGTTGTGTGATTTTAATTTGAAAAATCATTAGAAATTATAAAAACGAACCATTCAAGAAATCTTCAAAATCAATTGTTTCATCTTTACCCATTAAAATATCTAATCCAAGATTAGAAGATTCTAAAACTGGGAATCTTTGTACCTATAATAATATTGTTATTAATATTAGTATGATTATTGTTTAATAAGATATTTTCCATACTCTTATTCTTTATTTATTAATCAATCAGAATTTACCTTTGATACAATGCTTCGTTCCATGAGTTGTCTTATTGGCGCATGAAGTCCATAAACTTTTCGATGTAATGTAAGTTTCAAATTACTTTGTGTTTCTTCCCACTAATATTATTAATGGAAAATAATTAATTATGTAAATTCAAAATTTTCATTTATTCATTATACAAACGCACATATTTTAATCTATTTTCAAGTGGATGAGTTGGTGAAATATCACTTTCAATAGATTTTGGACCAAAGCGAAAAGTATCATGAATACCATAAGAATTTGTAGTATTGATGACACTTTTCTCCAAATTGGTTGAAGATGCTGGTGGAGCTAATCTAAGTGATTGTGTTGACTATAAGAATTTTATATAATTTATATAATTAATTATTATTGTTATCATCATTATTACATAAACTTACAATAAAAGAGTGTAATTTATTTATTTACCATATTTTTTATTTTTCAAAAATAGAATAAATTTTTCCTATGGTGCCAACCACCCAACATTCAGCATGGCGGACATTTGAATTTGTCACATGTGACAAAATCGATTGGCGATCTTTTTTATATTGAATTCAATTATTTAAAATGGGCATAATAACATGATCAAAAATAATTGTAAAACCCAAAAAATATTTTGCGATAATATATATACCTTTCGTTGAAAACTTTATTTTGGTTAAAAATAATCCTGTTAATTCTGCAAACTGCAAGATCTCATTATGAACCAAAGATTTCAAATTTTATATATGGGGCATACTGCAACAAAACCAGACAAAGTGAACATTGGTATTGCCAAAAATTCAGGGATCAAAATTTAGTCATTTGTAATGTGATCATAATTAACAGTTTTATAATATCCCATTCATTATTTTAAGTGATATATAGAACTATCCCTATGCAAAATAGTTAATATGAAACTCATTTACATCAGATCTACTATGGAACCCAAGAATTATAGCACCATTAGAAGTATTCTAAAAAAGGAACAAGGTGAAAAAATTGCACCTTACATTTTCAAAATAAATGATACTCAGATGCTGGAAGCTTATCTAAGAAAAGAAAAGATTACTTATGAAATTTACCATGAAGAAAGAAAAATAATAAATGTTGGAAAAAGAAAGCATCATGATGATGTATTATTACCTAATAAAAAGCAAAAATCTTAAAATAACTATTGTTTTCTTTGACAGTTAGAATGAATTTCAATTTATACAGAGGGAAATTTCCTCAATTACTTTTTATTTTCAATCAAGATCATCTTTTATGCACACTTCTGTTGTTAATGTCTACAATTTCTCATTTTATGGTTAAAAAAATACAAATGTTTTATTTTTAATCTTTGCTTTTTTTACAAAAATTTTGCTTATGATTTCACCACACTTTGTTTTTTTGCAGGAAGGGTCTCAAAATTAGCAACCGAATATGAAAGTACAACACCCATCTCAACACTGGCTTCATATGTAAGAAAGCATCCAGAATCAGATTATTGTTAAAAATTATTGATATTTTTGTTAAAAGGAAATTTTTTATTTTTATGAAAAAAAAAATTTATAATAATAAATTTGCGCTTGATTCAGTATATATGGAATTCGGATGAAAATATTTAGTTTTTTTCTATAAGAGTTTAGCATTTCAGATTCAGCAATTATCACGGTAAGCAACCATAGCTGTGTCAATCTATTGACAACCAAAATATTTCCTATTAAGAATATGGAAATTGAATTTATCTCTAGTAGAAAATTCAACTAAATTACTTTGTCATGACTGATTTATGAGCTATAATGATGGGTCAAACATATCAAATTATATTTTTGCTATTACCCGTTTGTATAGTCTTTGGATCTTCAAGCTAGATGATCAGATTGTTATGTCAACAAAATCTTATTGTCCACTTTGTCTGGTTTTGTTGCAGCATGCTCCATATTGCTGGTGAATATTATTTAAGCTTTCTTTATTTATACGTATTTTGGAGACTCAATCAAACATTTGATCCCTTTTGTATCTATTATAACAACTCAGTTTCAGGCTGATTAAAACTGATGGAGGAGAAAGATACATGTATAATAAATTAGTTGACGCAATTAATGCAGGAACAGAAAATGCGAAAAAGATGTAGTGCAAAAGTGATTCTGCAAAAACGATGATTTTGCTGGTTTTGATGTTGTTGGAAGTTATACGTGCTCTTTCACAAAAGGAACATAACCTTTAAACAGTACCAAGACCATGTCGGAAATTGATCCAGCTCATAAAATACAACCCACCAAGAGCTTGGTCAATATTTGAATATTCCAAATCTCAGTTGAAGAATCGACATAATTAACAGCTCCATACAAAAAGAACTCGGTGCTACAAGAAGTCATCATGTAAAAGAACATGCATGTTAGGAAAGAAGATCAAATAAACAATATTCATCAACTTCACACTCACAACTTCAATCATCATCACAACTTCCATCACAACCATCGTCATCAACTGTCTCACAACTTGATGAACTTTGGCCTGTTGTGAAATCCAAATTAGCCAATCAGAATTTCATATCCAAACACCCCACCCCAAAATTTTTAATTATAAATTTCAATTTCACATAGTTTCAATTTCACATACAACAGGCCCCAATGTAATTTCTTGCCCTCCTCGATCCTCACAAACTTGTGTATGGATGGTATTTCTAACAGACTAGGTACACGCGGTTCCGTAGAATTATCAACGGCAGGTCACTAGTGTCAAAGTACATTGTGTTGTTGAGTGTGTCAACCCATCATGTATTTTCATTCAAGTGTGGCTATACCATGATGAAACCTCGGGATCCTCGTTCAGTAACTGCCATTGTTGTTGCTGGTGCGTCAAGATTGCTCCAAATTTTTCATTCCACTTCTCGAGAACCTACCTATACACCCACACAAATCATCAACATATACTTGGACAACACTTCTTCAACACACTCTCAATATCGAAAATATCCAATGGGAGTCTCTCCTGGTCGGGAGATTTAACGAAATGGTTGGTCATTCATTATATATATGATTTTCCATTTGTTAAATGTTTGCATATTAATATATATATTTATTTTATTTTTTATTTTAATTAATGAAAAATTAAAAAATTTTACTTACTATATTTATTAACTAATAAAATCACAAATAAAATAATAATAATAATAGTAACAATATTAATAATAACAATAATAAAATGTTTACTTCACTACTTTTTCCAATTTTCTAAAATTTCTAATTAATTAATATAAAAAATATTTAAGATATTACACAAGAATCACTCGACACATGTAATGGATACGATGTCTCATCGCTTCCTACGCCCGTAGTTTTTGTTACCGTTGTTGATTTAGGTTTACCACCATCATAATAATAATGAAAGTCTGATATCTTGTCTATATACATATACATATATATTTATATGATTAGTGTAATGTGAATGTGAATGTTTTTATGCAATGTGCGTGGGATAATGTATGTGGACGAGTAGTGAATGAATGTGAGAGTGTGAGTGTGAGTGCGTGTGCGTGATTTATTATTATATTATATGTTATGTTATGATACATCGTATATATGATTGGTTGATGATTTACAAACAGAATGTACAAAAGATTAAAATAATAAATCCCAAATCCCAATTAGCGTTGTAAATATATTATAAATAAATAAACAAAATTAAATTACAAAATTTTATATGAAATAAGAGAAAACAATGATGAATATTAAATAAATATGATCGAGGGAAAGAAATGAGGTCATATATGCAATAAAATTAAAAAATATTTACAAGGAAATGGAAATGATTTTTATAATTTAAAAATTAAATAAATTAAATAATAAGTTATTATTTTTATTACCATAAATTTCGAGGCTAACTCTTGGTGAGGTGACTACAATTGGTATCGGTCGACTTGAATAATAAGCTTGTTGATGAACTTTTTGTAATTCTAAATAAATAATATAATGTTATTTATCAATTTATTTATTTCTCACTCTCACCAAAAAAAAAAAACCTACCGCTTAATTGAAGCAAAGCCATCTTTGATTCTTTTGAAATCAGGCTATTTCCCTTATTATTATTATTGTTATATCCATTACCACCATTATTACCACCGCCACCATTTACATTAACATTTCCGCTATGTAATTCCAATTTAGCATATTTAGCATTCATTTTAGAAATAAGAGCTTGTTCACGTTGTCGTAACATAATCATGCGTCTCTTTTCGGCCTTTCTAATTTGTTTGATAACTTTTTCAGATTTAAAAGTTAACAAGTCGTAAAGTTTTTCAGCGGTTGGTCTTTTGGCAGGATCAGGATCCCAACATTTTTGCATCAATTGTTTATAGAACGAGGGCGTGTCTTCGGTAATTTCCGGTCGTAAGCCATCACATATATCGTTGATTAGCTGTGAATCATGAGCTCTATCTTGATGTGGTCGTTTACCAGTAGTCAACTCGCACATTATTATTCCTATAGAAAACATATCTGAAGCTTTTGTTGGTTTACGGCCTTTTAAAACTTCTGGTGCTAAATATGGTAATACACCATATACATAATTTGATGGTGATGGTGATTTTGGGATGGGTGAAGGTAATGATGAAATATTGCATAGTCCAACATCAGTTATGGCCGAGTATTCATTATAATCCGAGAACATCAGGATATTCCCGCTATGTATATTATGATGCACTAGTCCAGAATTATGGATGTTTCTTAAACCCGAAGCTATATTACAAAGGAATTTTATTCTTTTTTCCCAAGTTAATGCCGAAAAATTTTTAATTAGATAGTTGTGCAATGAGCCACGATCAGCGTATTCCATTACCATTATAAAATGTTTTGTTGTTGGGTCACGAGAAATTCCATAACAATGAACCATATTATTGTTGAATGCCGTACAATTATAACATTTTTTGAGCTTTAAATGAAAAAAAAATATAGTTTAAAAAAAAAATAAATAAAAAAAAAAAAATAATAAACTTTAATATGACAAATAAATACCTCGTTAAAATAATCTGAATTAATATTTTTGGTTTTTTCCATTATTTTAAGCGCAACTATAGTTTCACCGGTTCTTTGCCATTTTAAAATTTCTTCGTTCCAACTCCATCTAGGACCATCTAACCAAATAGCCGTAGCCACATTACCATAACCATTGTTAATATCATTATTGCTTTTATCTATAAATTTTATATCTTTGAATCGTTCATATGGTATCCATTCCAAATAATCAATTGGTCTGGTTGATTTTAGTTGAGTTTCCTTGATGAAATTGTCAATGTTTTCATTCCCACTTGTCCATTTGGAAAATGTCTTTTGAAAATTAAATTTCTCACAATCTTTACACCATCCATCTATTTGTATTAACGGTAAAGAATTGTTACATTCTGGACAAACTGTTTGACTTGTGTAAAAGGATTGTTGTGGTTCGCTATTATTTATAAATGATGATGGTGGCGATGATGAAAAGGATGAGAATGATGGATATGGGATGTCCATTACAAACAACTATTTGTTTATTTTTATTTGTTGAATAATCTTTTTTTACCCTCTTTTTTTTCCCTTTTGAAGAAAAAAAGGCTTATTATTTGCTAAGTTTAATTGTTGTGATTGGTTTTTTTGTTTGTTGGTTGGAGAGATTGTAAAGTTGTAATAAGAGTATATGTGTATATCTAGTGAATTTAGATTTAAATTTAAAACAATCTCAAAGTCTCTTGGTAATAAATTATTTTGAAAGTGAGTAAAAGAATGTTAACTATTTATAAATTTTTTTAATTGACGAATATCGTTTTATAATATAATATATATATATATATATATATATAATATAATAAATAATAATGTACAATATATATATATATATATGATATTAATGAACACGTTAATTGTTTTTCTTTGTTAAATAATATAAAATGATGATATAATAATGTTTTTAAACAGGAAAATAAAAGCAATAAGAGTTAATGAAAGCTTATTTCTTTATTTTTTTTTTTTTATTAAAAAGTTTTTTCAAAAGGAAAAAAAAAGAGGAAAAATAAATAAAAAAATTTTTATATATTTTTGTAAAAGAGAAAAAAGAAGAGCATTTCTTTTTTAAATTATTTATTTATATTTGTTTATTATAAGATATTGAAACTTGAATTTTACAGGTTTTTTTGTTTACATTCTTTTTCATTGTTCGACTTGCACATAATTCCATCCATTTCTTCTCCAAGTCTTTCCAATCTCTTTATTTGTAAAAATCATTTAGACGGCGTTCTGTACATTAAATAAATAATAATAATAATAATAAAATAATAAATAATAATAATATAATAAGAATAAATGATATAAAAATATGCACACTCACATTATTATTATATTTTATACGATTGTTCCAAATTAGAAAATTAAAAAAAATTGGTTGGTTTAATGTCTGAAGACAATTTTTTGTTTATTTGGTAAAAAATAGTGTTGATAATAAGCAGTTGATGGACCGTTGTCCACAATAGATATTAGATAATGATATTAAAATGATTGATAAATATATATATATAAATATATATATATAAATATATATATATATATATGTGATGTAATACTTGATTGATTGATTTTTTCCAGTTTAAATTGGGAGTTTTATTTCGGAACTTTTTAAAGAAAAAAATTTAAAAAGACAAGATTTATTTTCCATATACGACGAATAATAAATAACTTGTCGTCATTATCAACATCTATCATTTAAAAAGAATCATTGACAATTTTTATAATATAATAATCAAAGGCACTAAAAAACATCAACATCCATCTGATGCTCATTAATTTCTCGGATGTTTTTTTGTGCACTATGATTTTATTGTAGGGCAACCGTGCGTACGTGTGTGTGTATGTGTTCTGAAAAAAAAAGGTTAATATAAATGATTAATTAATTAACTGTGTAATATAAAATATACATTTTATTTCAATATCAATTTAATATTATGTAATTGTGTATATAATAATAATATGCTTAAATCTAACAAATATTTATTAACAGTTAAATTACCAATAGTCAACAATTATATTAATATTATAATTATCAACCTTATTAATTTACAATAATCTTATTAACTATAATATCAATCTTATTGATTATAATAAACTAATTATTATTAAGAATCATTTGAGAGAAGCATCAAAAGTTACAATTAATTAAAATCTTGCATAATGTCAAACAACACACACAAGTTCATATTTACTTGTATTCTATATTTATATATAATAATATCTTATTATAGAATATTTTTCGTTTTCTCTCTTTCGGTTTTTTAATAATTATTTTTTAAGGTTATATATATATATTAATTACTTTCCCTCCAAAAAAATTTCATTAATCATATTGTACAACCAATAGTACCAAGAAAGCAAGTGACGATATCACGTGCCACTAAAACACGTTACTTTTAATAATAATAATAATAATAGTAATAGGTAATTATATACGCGTAAATTTTTTCTTGCTATTTTTGAAATTAGGTTGCCTTAATAATAATAATAATAATAATAATAAATAATAATTATTATTATTATAATAATAACAAGGTCACAATCATCCAGGGCCCAAAGGCTATGTATATAGAAGATGTGCTTCACGTGATATTGATTTATTTGGTTCACAATAATACGATTATCTATTAAAAAAAATCTCTGTTCCTATAAAAATATTCTTTGGATATAAAATATCTCTTTACCGTGACGAGATAAGATTGTGATTACTATTTTGAATAAACTGATAACGCCACATATTATATTTCTTGAAGCATATTATTTTACTTTTAACACGTTGAATAATAAAACAACAGTTTGGCCAAATCATAATCAATCCATATAATCACACCATTTAAGGAAAAGAATAAAGAATTCTATCTGGTATTTTGTTTTATATGTATTAGTATATTTTATTAGTAATTCTAAACGTGAGCTATTAATTGACCCATGTCAATAAGACATAATTATTATATATCGAAATGGAAATTGAAGACAACTGATAATGGTAGGTAGAGTCATTAAAAAAAAATAGAAGCAGGCGAATCGTTCATACGGAGAGATAGCATAAGTATGGGAAAAATTTTTTTTATTTCATTATTATTCTATATAATAATAATTAAATTAAATATTCCAAATTGGGTTAATTTGATCCTCCTTAATTTCAAGAAAAGTCTGTCACGTGGCTATGAGTATAAATCGCAAGAACTCAAGGTTTTACTACGACAACTACCCTTTACTACTAATTAAAAATTCTCAACCTAAAATTTCAGATATAGTAACATCTTAGGTATCCCAACGCCATCCTCCCAAAAAAATACGTGGCCGTGCTTTTTCGCTGGGGAAGATTATTATTATAATAGAATACGGAAATGAATGATCCTGAAAATAAACAAAGGAATGTTACACAAGTTGTAAAACAATAAAACTAGAAAAAGCGTAGATTTTTTAGAAAAATAAAAAATCAGTAGAGCAGCGCTCGTATGTGGGAAGGCAGTCAAACTTTTAAAGGCCATTTGCAACTTTCGAAAACAATTACGAGGAGGATCCTAATATAACTAATCTGTAGTAAAACCTCTATATAACAAACCTCGATTTACCGAAGTTACATCTATACCCGAAATCTATCTCTTTATACCGAAATTCGTTACAAATACCGTCTTATTCTTATTCTTACCTCATTATTCCGAAACATGTGATCACAAAATGAATTCTTTGATATAATTGGTGATTTATAATAAAATGGCATTAAATAAATTTTTTTTTTAATTAAAATTAAAAGGAAGACAGCTGAAGTAAATAATTTATCAGGTTCTGATGAGTATTAGATATGAGTTACTAAAATTTTTGGAAACACACTTTTATTTTTGAAGCAACAAGATGATGAACATGGAGTTTTGTGTAATTCTTAGAACATGTAAAAGTAAAGCACAGAATAGTCGAATTCAATCCATGTTTACCGATGATTTTAAACCTATATTTTATTTTCAATAAATAATTATATTCAATAATGAAAATTGCTTGCTGATAAATTCAGTATACATGGGAACCGAAACCTTGCTACATATGTATAACGAAATTTGTTGATTCTTGCTAATAAATTCAGTATATGTGTATACCAAAACCTTGATATCATGAACACAAGTGTGCCAAATAAAACATTTCGTCATATAGAGATTTTATGTATATTCTTTATTCTTCAAGTGAGATAACATTCAGGTGATAATAACTGTGAATCAATAGATTCTGGTGAATCCTCTAATCTAAAGAGACCTCAGGGCAAAAATTCTCAATTCAACAAAAATATTAATAAAACAGACACGGAATCTATAAAAGACCAATTACCTGTTACTACTACTATGGACTGGAAAAAATCATGCATTTAAAAAGCAAACACAATTACTATAAAGAAAATGATTAAAAATAAATAAATTAAACCAATCGCCTCAAATAAAAATTGATGTTCAAGCTTTATGATAGGTATATATATAATTTAGTTAGCCAAAATTAGTATTAGGTTAACCATAGCCGCAATTAATTGAGTCATATTAAAAACATGAGTCAGACGCAATTAAAAATTGAGATCTTGGGTATTGAGTCGAAGCTAAATTAACTTTGACAACACATCTATATAGCATAATTCAGTTGGGATTGTGTTATATCTTGGTTGTGTGACTAGTTGAGTGGATACTTTCCTGGTAGCGATTTATGTAAAATTAAATTTTGTTACTAATACTATTTACTAAAGCTCCGAACAAGCCGAGCCGAGTTTATGTTTAGCTCGAGCTCGGTTCGACTCGAATATTCGAGTTCGAGATTTAATATTATGTTTTTATATAATCATGATTTTGTAGACCACTGAAATAATTGAAGCAATAATAAACTAATAAATTGTATAACATGCTTGAGTTTTAGAGCATTAAAACATTATCAATAATTTTATGCAGACTAACAAATTCCGAAAATTTTAAATGAGAATGATCTGTGTTTTAATATCTGTTTCTAATAAAAAAATGTCTTTTAGGTTCTGGAATATATGCATACAGTCAACATCAGAAAATTACATTTAAATTTGTTATACCAAAATTACTAATCACATTTCAATGAATTTTATCAGTCAGACAAGATTTCACGCGATTGATGTGTCTACTGTCATAGCTATGTAAAATTTTTGTGAAACATGTCAACTTTTACTATTAAAATCGAAAGAACTTTTTACTTGTCGCTAGTACACCCACATGTAATTTTTAACAAGGAACGTGATATTTTGTGTACACATTCTGAGATTTTATTTTATTCCTTGTAAAATTTTAGATATGGTTTCATAAAGAAACAATAAATAATTAGCAGTTGGAAGTTATACATTTTTAAATAAAATATTAATAAAATGAAAACTAATAATAAGTAGTTGATTATATAATTTTTTAATATTGCAATTATATTCTTACTAATAAACTTTACTTTTTGTTTATATATAAAACAGATATTGCAAGACTCATTAAAGGATACATATATATATATTTTTAAATAATGAATGATAAGAATGGTCACAAAATGTTGTTCCAATAAATTACTGCCTTAGAAAAAAAAATAAGGAATTAATGTATGTTGAGCACATTTTTAGTATTAATATTAAGAAAAATATATGATATAAATAATGAAAATAAATTCTCTTTGTGATTTAATATTTTTTTTTTCTTCTAATTGTGTAATGTAATATTTATAATTACTATATACATAACAGTGACAATTTCAGAAGAAAGAAAATATAGACTATTATTATTATTATTTATTATTATTTTTTAATGATTAGTTATTAATGAAGTCTTTCTTTAGCAGATAAAGGAATTAAGTACATTGTCATTTTAAATATAAATATGATATAATCATATAACAATATTCTTATAAATCTGTTTTTAATCATTTTAATCATTAATTTTATCTCTTGCAATCATATATTTTTTAAATACCTATCTTCCATAATTTTTTATTCATAATTTTTACCATTATGTCAAGAAGTTTACAAAAAAATACCACATTCCACTGTTGGTAAAGATGTTGCTTTGTGAAAGTTAAAGAACATAATACACTCATCAAAGAAATCAACAAAGGTAGATCAAACAAAGAGATAGAAGTTGGAGACAATTTACCCACTCTGGTTTCAGACATAACAGTTGCACCAATTGATGAGATTGAAACT